AAAAAAAAAAAACTGAAAAAAGAAAGAAGAATACTCTCGCATCTTGACTTCAATGCCGGACATACAGCATTACATGATGATGTTCATGTAATAAAATTGCAGCTTTTTCTTCTTTTATTTTTTTGGGTACAAACTATGAAAGAAAAAAGTTTGGGACTGATAAAGTTTCCTTTTTTACTTTTTAGCAGCAACTATTTTCCCATGTATCTTCACCAATTTACTAATCCAGTCTTTTTTATTTGTTTTTGTATTGTATTATTATCACTCCTTTAACGAGAATAACTTGCATGTCACGGAGATAACACTGTTTTCCTATTCTTATCAAATCACGTTTCATCATGTGAAATCATGACGGAATATGATTGATTGGGATAATAAAACAATAATATCCCAAGTTTTTCTTCCCTTTAACAGTCTAACATTATATCTAAAACATAAGATGCTGATTATCTTGAGTAGCGAGCATACACATAACACCATGCACAACCATCCCTTTAATTATCTTCTATCTAAAAGGTGGCATCCATTTCAAATAGGAATCTGGTCGATGGTAGTGGATGCGCTCTTTATACCTTCCTTGGTCGACTTGTCTTTCCCTTCTCTCCCACCAAAGACTAGCGATACTTGATTTACTATTGAACCTATAATCCACACAACTTCTTTTTCTCTTAGATTATCATCCTTTACAGCTCTTCCAATACACCAATTAAGTTTTAACATGTTATATAGCACCGTCAACGTGGTTTGCAATTTATTATAAAGAGGCAAAGTGACAACGAGTCTAATCATAAGTGTGGGATAACATTTATAACTCTTTTTTGTAATATAAGCGATCGTCTAAACTACAAAGAAAGGGGGGAGGCTGGGGTGGGTGTTCACACACAAGCAAGGTGTCACGGGAATTCGAATTTGAGATCACTAATATGCAAGTTAATGCATTTTTCCATTGGATTACACCCCTATTGACATAACTCTAATAAAAATGAAATTTGCAAAAATCTTGTATAGACAGTAAGTAATGAACCTCTTCATATATATATATATATATAATGTAAAAATGTGAGTTCATTTTAATCCTAAATTTGTGAGGCATACGAACTACCTCTTTTTAAAGATGTTAAAATTTAACCTTTCCAAAACGAAAATTGAAAAAAAAAAAAAACTTTCTTATTTTCTTTTTCATCCCTTATATTCTAAGACTTATTATTATTATTATTATTATAAAGATATTTGTTATTATTTATTTTTAAAAGGCACTTTCTTTTGGTAAATAAAGGGTAAATAATCCGGACAAAAAACAAGAAGAAAAGTTAAAGTAAAAGGGGTAAATTGGGCACCGACCCATCCCCATTTGAAGATAGGGAAGATATAAAAGCCCTACCAACAAAATCCTTCCTCTTACTCTTACTACCCGCGTTCGCATTCGCGCATTACTTTCACTTTCGCAGTGTGAGAGCGAGAGCGAAAGAGAAATCACTCATCCTACAGAAGAGAGAGAGAGCCCTCAGCCCAACACAAATCCACAAAAGAAAGAAGTGTGTGTGGATTGGAAATTGGCATCAAACACTTTGAGGAGGTAAGCATCTCTTTTTGGGTCGAATATTTCACTTTCCCTTTCTTTTTTAGCTTTCTCGCTTCACCCCTCTGCTTGCTGCCAAACCCTTTCAAGCCTTTGCGATCCCATTTCTCTTTGGACAGTCGGAAGAAAACAAGCTCCGAGTAACTGCTTTACTCTTTCTCATATCAATTTGGGTTTGCTTGCTTCTGATTATAGAGGTTCACTCTCGTTCATAAAATTAGTTTCTTTTGAGTTAAATTAATTTAACGAATTTGGTTTCAACTATTGGTGATTTTTCGTGATTGTTATTCGGAATTCAGGCTTTTTTTGGGTTTGTTTTATGTACTTTCCAACGATGTCTACCTGAAGATTTATTGATTTTGATATGGTTGAGTGTGTTTTGTTGAATTATTGAGGGCTTCTGGGAATCTGAGGTGGGACTGTAAAGTCAGTGCTTGTTGTTTCTGTTTAAAGCTCAAAAATTGTTGATGGGTTTTTGATAATCTGAGATGGGTTTGTGTTTGATTTGTGAATTGCAGGGTTTAGGAAGTGAAATTGGGGGCGGGGTTTGTGATGAGGAAGGGTTCCAAGAGTCATAAAACTAGACATATCTAGCTTTTCCTTCTAAAGCCAAATGAAAGCTAGACGCCTACATTGGCCAATATCATGAAATGATCCTTACAAGCCAAGGCACTCTTTAGGGAAGAGCTAGTCTAAGGTATCAACAAAATCTTCGTGGATTATCATGAATAGCCTAGGATGATTTTAGTGACTCTGTTAGACTTGTATTTTGAAACAGAATCGTATAATCTCCAATTTATTACCTAACTGTTAAAGAAAAAGGCACTGTCATATTATTGAAGCACTATAACTTGTTTTGGGTGATAAAGTCTTTAACAATGTCTTAGAACCATACCTATAATTTTTTTATGGGCATAACAGACGGCATGTTCACCGTTTTTCAGACAATGAAGCAAAGAGATGAAGCCTTATCAAGAGAAGTAGTACTTCTTAGGGCAAAATTTGAAGAACTGGAGAAGCTTGCGAAGGGACGAGGACTTAGTGGCATCATCAACTTCAAGCGTGCTGAAACAGAAGGTGCAAAGACAGAAAAACCAGCCTGATCAGTTCACAAGATTCATAAAATAAATTTGGTTTTCAACCCAATTTTAATTCATAGAATGCTTCCCTCTTCACAGAGGGAAAAATTTTCCCCCTTAATTCTTTTAACCAAGGGTCATAATTTCAGATTGGTGACCGGCTTCACTGTTTCCAAATGTAGATTAATATAACTGAATAAAATTTTGAGGCTCTGTTTGATTTGTATAAACATTGTTAAAAGAAAAAAAAAAAAAAAA